CGGGAAACACAGAATTGTTCTAAAGGACACAGAACTTGAATTAAAAGTATGTCAACAACAGCAGAGGATGGCAGAGGAGGCAATGTTTTAGGAGCGACAACGGCAGAAAGGGGGAAGGGGGTCGAGGGCCTATTCGCACCAACCAGTGCCCCCCTGTCTCCAGTAAGTGAGGAAGAGCAACAGAGGGCGGTCAGAAGGGGGGGAGACATCCGCCTCTTCACACCAGGCGAAGAAAGTGGCGAGGAGATGGCCGGTGCCGGGTCTAGAGACAGGTCTGTCTCGACCCCACCCCCAGGGGGGCTAGTAGTGGGGCGGAACCCTAATTGATGATGAGAGCTGACGCACTTGGCAGCCCCCCGCTCGGGTATTGCTTCCGCACACGGGAGAAAGGGGGCAGCTGGCAGCGACAAAACAGTGGGTTTTTTTTGTCTCCATCGCCACACTCTGCCATGTGCCACTTTCGGGTCCCCTCACACACTGCTGGTGTTTCCTTTTTTGTCATAGGGTGCGAGATTCGGCCTCCCTAGCTGCTCGCCGGGCCCCTAATCGCCATGGCCCCTTACCCCCCCCTCCTCATCTCCGCCAGGTCCACATTTCATCCATGTCCACTTTCAGGTCTCCTCACACGCTGGTTTGGCAATTTTTGTCTAGGGTGCTGGAGATTAGGGGGCCCCCCATACTGCTGCCAGCCCTAACTCCAGGGCCCCTAAACCCCCCCTCAGCGCTCCCCAATCCAAGCCCCTCTTGGGTCCCCGTACGGCCTCCCATTGCTGCTGTCCCATCGCCACACTCCCATGTGCCATTTTTCGGGTCTCCTCAAAAACTCTGGGGGTTTTCAATTTTTTACATAGGGTGCTGGCAGATTACGGGCCTCCCAAACGCTCCGGGCCCCAAATCTGCCAGGGCCCCTAAAAAACCGCCTCCTCAGGCTCTCCCATCCAGATTTCTCATGGGTCCCTGTAGGGCCCCCCATTCTGCTGTCCCATCGCCACCCTGCCATTCTGCGTCAAGGAAGGTTGGCCATGCGCCATGCAGGGCTCACGTGGTTCAATCTGGTTGTCAAGCGGTGTTCCTAAAATCCCCACCATCCCACTGCAAGACATCCTTAAAATGTCACGTAAACTATGCTTTGCATTTCAGCCATTTCCTACACCGTCAAAAGCACACACCTCCTTGAGCTGCAGCGGCAGAACGGAATTCCACAGCATCAGCCTGATCTGCGACTTGCAACAAGGTGGAATTCAACACCTACACATGTTAGACCGCCTTAACGAACAGCGAAAGGCCATCACCGATTTCCTGATGTTACAAGCGTGATAAAGGTACTCCCCTGTGTAACTTAGATGTCAGCCATTTGCAGCTCATGCGTGACACCTGCCGCTTGCTCAGGCCCTTTGAGGAGGCCACGCTATTCGTGAGTCGGCAGGACTATGGGAATGAACGACGTCATTCCTCCTGTTGCACGTCCTGGAACAAATGCTGGCTTAACAATGGCTGGTCAGGGTGCGGTAGACGTGGCGCACAGATCTCAGACCTAAGCCACATGACCCCTGTGGGGGGCAGGACAGGAAGAAGAGGAGGAGGTAAGGAGGTACATTTGTGCTCAGGAATTATTGAGTGAAATGGGTGTTTTTCCACTCAGGGCGGACGAGGAGTGGAGGAGCAGGAGCATCTGGTAGAGGAGGAGGAGGAGGAGACATGAGGACCCAGACGCACCGTGAGCAGTATGCTGTGGAGATGGAGGCAGGGAGCGTCCCTCGCATTCCTTGGCACAAATGGCCCATAGCATGCTCGGTTGCTTGCGTAGCGACAGCCGAAATAATAACCATCAGACATGAGGGATGACTTTTGGCTGTCCACCTTGTTGGACCCTCGCTACCGTTTCAAAAATGGTGGGCCGTTTTTTCACACCTGCTGAGAGGGAGGCCAAAATAACGTACTATAAAAACCACCTATGTAGTCAGTTTGGTCTCTGCCCTTCTGAGAGGGCTGCGCCAACGTCCATCCTCAGACACTGTGGCCCTGTGCGCTCGCGTTCCGCTGCCATGGCAGCAGGGAGGGTGGGGTGGTAGGAGCAGTGGGCTAGCTTGCTCCACCAGCAGACGGCTGCCTCAGTCTGCAGTCGATGATGAGTAGCTTTCTTCACCAGCGCAGTGAGGAAACTACTAACCAGCCCGCAGCAGCAGCAGCATCAGGTGGACCTGGAGCAGGACCTCAAACAACAGGCTTGGGCCTACTTGGACACAGCACCCTGCCAACCGAGGTAGACAATCCCCTTGACTACTGGGGCAACGAAACTTGACCTTTGGCCCCAACTAGCTGAATTTGCCCTTGAAAGGCTGTCATGCCCGGCCAGTAGCGTGGCATCGGAGCGCGTGTTATTAGCGTGCGGCAGGGAGTATTGTAACCCGCGGAGGACACGACTGTCCACCCAAAGTGTGGAGAGACTCACGTTTGTGAAAATGAATCAGGCGTGATTAGTCTGGATTTCAAACCACCAGTTTCCTGACACAACTGACTAAAAATCCGCCATGAATCATGCCCCAAACATGTGCCACTTTCAGGTCTCCATCACTACTGCTGGTGTGTTCAATTTTTTGTCATAGGGTGCTGGCAGATTACGGGCCTCTCCCATAGCTGCTGCCAGGCCCCTAATCTGCCATGGGCCCCTGTACCGCCTCCTCATGCTGCTGCCAGGTCCAGAGTCTCTCATGGGGTCCCCTGTACGGCCTCCCATTGCTGCTGTCTCCATCGCCACACACTTCTGCCATGTGGCCACTTTCAGGTCTCCTCACACTGCTGGTGTGTTCCATTTTTTGTCATAGGGTGCTGGCAGATTACGGGCCTCCCATGCTGCTGCCAGGCCCGTAATCTGCCATGGGCCCCCGGTACCGAATCCGCTACCCTCCTCATGCTGTCCTCTCTCATGGGTCCCTGTACGGCCTCCCATTGCTGTCTCCATCGCCCACACTCTGCCATGTGCCACTTTCAGGTCTCCTCACACTGCTGGTGTGTTCCATTTTTTGTCATAGGGTGCTGGCAGATTACGGGCCTCCCATAGCTGCTGCCAGGCCCCTAATCTGCCATGGGCCCCTATACCAGTCCCCGCCTCCTCATGCTGCTGCCAGGTCCAGAGTCTCTCATGGGTCCCCTGTACGGCCTCCCATTGCTGCTGTCTCCATCGCCACACTCTGCCATGTGCCACTTCAGGTCTCCTCACACACTGCTGGTGTGTTCCAATTTTTTGTCATAGGGTGCTGGCAGCAGATTACGGGCCTCCCATAGCTGCTGCCAGGCCCCTAATCTGCCATGGGCCCCTGTACCGCCTCCTCATGCTGTGCTGCCTGTAGAGGTCCAGAGTCTCTCATGGGTCCCTGTACGGCCTCCCATTGCTGCTGTCTCCATCGCACACACTCTGCCATGTGCCACTTTCAGGTCTCCTCACACACTGCTTGGTGTGTTCCATTTTTTGTCATAGGGTGCTGGCAGATTACGGGCCTCCCATGCTGCTGCCAGGCCCCTAATCTGCCATGGGCCCCCTGTATGTACCGCCTCCTCATGCTGCTGCCAAGGTCCATAGAGTCTCTCATGGGTCCCTGTACGGCCTCCCATTGCTGCTGTCCATCGCCACACTCTGCCATGTGCCACTTTCAGGTCTCCTCACACTGCTGGTGTGTTCCATTTTTTGTCATAGGGTGCTGGCAGATTACGGGCCTCCCATTGCTGCTGGCCAGGCCCTAATCTGCCATGGGCCCCCCAGTACCACGTCCTCCTCATGCTGCTGCCAGCCAGTCCAGAGTCTCTCATGGGTCCCTGTACGGCCTCCCATTGCTGCTGTCTCCATCGCCACACTCTGACCTTGCCATGTGCCACTTTCAGGTCTCCTCACACTGCTGGTGTGTTACATTTTTTGTCATAGGGTGCTGGCAGATTACGGGGGGCCTCCCATTGCTGCTGCCAGGCCCGTAATCTGCCATGGGCCCCCTGTACGCCTCCTCCTGCATGCTGTGACGTTGCAACCAGGTGGAATTCAACCCTACATATGTTAGACCGCCCATTACGAACAGCGAAAAGGCCATCACAGATTTGCCTGATGTTACAACGGATAAAGGTCTCCTCACACTACTCCCTGTGTTAACTTAGATGTCAGCCATTGGCAGCTCATGCGTGACACCTGCGCTTGCTCAGGCATAGCCCTTTGAGGAGGCCACGCTATTCGTGAGTCGGCAGGACTATGGGGATGAACGACGTCATTCCTCTGTTGCACGTCCTGGAACAAATGCTGTTAACAATGGCTGGTCAGGGTGCGGTAGACGTGCGCGCACAGATCTCAACGCCACATTGACCCCTGTGGGGGGCAGGACAGGAAGAAGAGGAGGAGGTAGAGGAGGACATTGTGCTCAGGAATTATTGAGTGAAATGGGTGGTTTTTTCCACTCAGCTGACAGGACAGGAGTGGAGGAGCATGGAGCATCTGGTAGAGGAGGAGGAGGAGGAGACAGAGGACCCAGACGCACCGTGGCAGTATGCTGTGGAGATGGAGGCAGGGAGTCCCTCGCATTCCTTGGCACAAATGGCCCATAGCATGCTCTCGCTTGCTTGCGTAGCGACAGCCGAAAAATAACCATCAGACAGAGGGATGACTTTTGGCTGTCCACCTTGTTGGACCCTCGCTACCGTTCAAAAATGGTGGCCTTTTTCACACCTGCAGAGTAGGGAGGCCAAAATAACGTACTATAAAAAACCACCTATGTAGTCAGCTGGTCTCTGCCTTTCTGCGCCAACGTCCATCCTCTCAGACACTGTGGGCCCTGTGCGCTCAAGCGTTCCGCTGCCATAGGGCATGCAGGGAGGGGTGGGGTGGTAGGAGCAGTGGCAGCTCCACCAGCACGGCTGCCTCAGTCTGCAGTCGATGATGAGAGTAGCTTTCTTCACCAGCACTGCAGTGAGGAAACTACTAACCAGCCGCTGGTGGAAGCAGCAGCATCAGGTGGACCTGGAGCAGGGCCCTCAAACAACATGCTTAGGCCCATAATCTTGGACAGCACCCTGCCAACCGAGGTAGACAATCCCCCTTGCAGACTACTGGGCAACGAAAAACTTGACCTGTTGGCCCCAACTAGCTGAATTTGCCCTTGAAAGGCTGTCATTGGCCCGGCCACTTAGCGTGGCATCGCGAGCGCTGCTGTTTAGTGCGGCAGGTAGGTATTGTAACTCCGCATGGACACGATGTTCCCACCCAAAGTGCTGGAGAGACTCACGTTTTGTGCCCAAATGTAATTAGGCGTGGATTAGTCTGGTTTTTTCAAACCACCGTCCCATTGCCTGCTGGTCCTCTAAATCCGCCATAATCATGCCCCTGCATGCCATGGATGCCACTTTCAGGTCTCCTCACACTGCTGGTGTGTTCCATTTTTTGTCATAGGGTGCTGGCAGATTACGGGCCTCCCATGCTAGCTGCTGCCGAGGCCCCTAATCTGCCATGGGGCCCCTATATACCGCCTCCTCATGCTGCTGCCAGGTCCAGAGTGTCTCTCATGGGTCCCTGGTACGGCCTCCCATTGCTGCTGTCTCCATCGCCATGGTCTGCACATGTGCCACTTTCAGGTCTCCTCACACACTGCTGGTGTGTTCCATTTTTTGTCAAGGGTGCTGGGCAGATTATACGGGCCTCCCATAGCTGCTGCTGCCAGGCCCCTAATCTGCCATGGGCCCCTGTACCGCCTCCCTCATGCTGCTGTCCCACGTCCACTAAGTCTCATGCCATGTGCCACTTTCAGGTCTCCTCACACTGCTGGTGGGTTCCCAATTTTTTGTCATAGGCCTGGCAGATTACGGGCCTCCCATGCGCTGCCAGGCCCTAATCTGCCATGGGCCCCTGTAGGATCTCCTCCTCACTGGGCTGCCAAGGTCCAAGTTTCTCATGGGTCCCTGTACGGCCTCCCATTGCTGCTGTCTCCATCGCCACCTCTGCCATCTTGCCACCAGGTCTCCTCACACACTGCTGGTGTGTTCCATTTTTTGTCATAGGGTGCTGGCAGATTACGAGGCCTCCCATATGCTGCAGCCAGCCCCTAATCTGCCATGGGCCCCTGTACCGCCTACTCCTGCTGGCCACATGCTGCTGCTCCAGGTCCACAGTGTCTCATCGCCATGTGCCACTTCAGGTCTCCTCACACTGCTGGTGTGTTCCATTTTTTGTCATAGGGTGCTGGCAGATTACGGCCTCCTCCCATAGCTGCTGCCAGGAGCCCCTAATCTGCCATGGGCCCCTATACCGCGCTCCTCACATGCTGCTGCCAGGTCCAGAGTTTCTCATGGGTCCCTGTACGGCCTCCCATTGCTGCTGTCTCCATCGCCACACTCTGCCATGTGCCACTTTCAGGTCTCCTCACACTGCTGGTGTGTTCCATTTTTTGTCATAGGGTGCTGGCAGATTACGGGCCCCCATTGCTGCTGCCAGGCCCCTAATCTGCCATGGGCCCCTGTACCGCCTCCTCATGCTGCCAGGTCCAGAGCCTCATGGGTCCCTGTACGGCCTCCCATTGCTGCTCTGTCGCCACACTCTGGCATGCTGCCAGACACTTTCAGGTCTGATCCTCAACACTGCCATGTGTGTCTGAGTCACCAGGGTGCTGGCAGATTACGGGCCTCCCATGTGCTGCACGGCCCCTAGGTCTGCTCACATGTGTAATGTGCCGTTTCATGGTACATAAAGCCAGCATCAGCCAGTGCCCAGCTTAGTACTTGCTAAGTTGCCTACCATAGGTGCTGCCATGGAATCTGTCATATGGCCGCTTCCAGGGAACTCTACAGCCATGTGCACTTTCAGGTCCACTCCCAGAAACTCTGCATGGTGTGTTCCAGACAGAGGGTTGCTGGCAGATTAGGGTCCCTCCCATAGCTGTTTGCCAGGCCCCATCTGCATGTGTCCCCTCCATCGTACGCCACATGTCTGAGGACGATGGCAAGATCCCAAGGATGCCATGTGCCACTTTCAGGTCGCTCTCCTCACACTGCTGGTGTGTTTCCATTTTTTTGTCATAGGGTGCTGGCAGATTACGGGCCTCCCATAGCTGCTGCCAGGCCCCTAATCTGCCATGGGCCCCTGTTACCGCCTCCCTCATGCTGCTAGCTGCCAAGTCCACAGAGTCTCTCATGGGTCCCTGTACGGCCTCCATATGCTGCTGTCTCCATCGCCACACTCTGAACAGTGTGGCCATTTTCACCCTATGTTCTTTCGTTTTTTTTTTCACTCTTTTTCCACGGGGCTGGGGCTCTTTTTTTTCTGTCATTCGGTGGCATATGGCCCTTTACGGGCCTCCTTTTTTTTTGCTTTTTAGAGCACGGCCCAGTGTTAACTCTGCCATGAGGCCACTTTTCATTTCTTTTGCGCTACGAAATACATTTTTTCCCCCAGCCTTTTTTTTCATTGGGTGCTGCCAGAATTAGGGCCTATCATCATGGGGCCCTGTATTCTTGGTCCCTACCCATTGCTTCCAAGTCTTTTTCGCCACTGTTTCACCTGCCAAATGTTCTGCACACTCTGCGCATGTGACCACTTTCAGGTCTCCTCACACACACTTTTTGGTTTGTGTTTTTTTTTTGTCATAGGGTGCTGGCAGATTACGGGCCTCCCATAGCTGCTGCCAGGCCCGTAATCTGCCCATGGGCCCCTATACCGCCTCCTCATGCTGCTGCCAGGTCCAGAGTGTCTCATGGGGTCCCCTGTACGGCCTCCCATTGCTTTGTCTCCATCGCCACACTCTGCCATGTGCCACTTTCAGGTCTCCTCACACTGCTGGTGTGTCCATTTTTTGTCATATAGGGTGCTGGCGGATTACGGGCCTCCCATTTGCTGCTGCCAGGCCCGTAATCTGCCATGGGCCCCAGATAACTTTTAGCCTCCTCATGCTGCTTGCCAAGTCCACAGTTCTCTCATGGGTCCCCTGTACGGCCTCCCATTGCTGCTGTCTCCATCGCCCACACTCTGCCATGTGCCACTTTCAGGTCTCCTCACACTGCTGGTGTGTTTAAATTTTTTGTCATAGGGTGCTGGCAGATTACGGGCCTCCCAGCCTGCTGCTGCCAGGCCCCTAATCTGCCATGGGCCCCTTATACCGCCTCCTCATGCTGCTGCCAGGTCCAGTCTTAAGTCTCTCATGGGTCCCTGTACGGCCTCCCATTGCTGCTGTCTTTCATTTCGTACACACTCTGCCATTTGCCACTTTCAGGTCTCCTCACACTGCTGGTGTGTTCATTTTTTTGTCATATAGGGTGCTGGCAGATTACGGGCCTCCCATTTGCAGCTGCTGCCACAGGCCCCTCTTATCTGCCATGGGCCCCCTATACCGCCCTCCTCATGCTGCTGCCAGGTCCAGAGTCTCTCATGGGTCCCTGTACGGCCTCCCATTGCTGCTGTCTTCCATCGCCACACTCTGCCATGTGCCACTTTCAGGTCTCCTCACACACTGCTGGTGTGTTCCATTTTTTTTTGTCATAGGGTGCATTGCACGCTCTGGCAGATTTAAACGGGCCTCCCACATTGCTGCTGCCAGGCCAGGCCCGTAATCTGCCATGGGCCCCCTTTGTACCGACTCCTCATTTGCTGCTGCCGAGGCCCGTAAAATCTGTCATGGGCCCCTCTGTTGTCGCTTGTTGGCATATTCCGCTCGTTCAGATGCTCCTTCTCCTGCTACTACCTCTTCTTCACGGATTCCGTCAGCAGTCTTTCTTGGAATCCGTTTCCAAGAGACAACAGTTTGCGAGCACGCACCCGACGGTGCAGAAGCTCTGGAACGTCATTCCCCTGTCCAAGTTGCGCTGCTTTTTGCAGGCTCGTAATCTGTCATGCGCTCCCCTGTTTTATTCAGCCTCCTCATGCTGCTGCCAGGTCCAGAGTTGTGTCATGGGTCCCTGTACGCCTCCCATTGCTGCTGCCAGGCCCATCTGCCATGGGCCCCCGTACCAACTCCTCATGCTAGCTGCCAGGCCCGTAATCTGTCATGGGCCCCTGTACCCGGCTAATTCCTCCTGCTGCTGCCAGGTCCAGAGTGTGTCATGGGTCCCTGTACGGCCTCCCATTGCTGCTGCCAGGCCCGTAATCTGCCATGGGCCCCCGTACCAACTCCTCATTGCTGCCAGGCCCGTAATCTGTCATGGGCCCCTGTTTATTATTTTTTCACCGCCTCCTCATGCTGCTGCCAGGTCCAGAGTGTGTCATGGGTCCCTGTACGGCCTCCCATTTGCTGCTGTCTCCATCGCCACACTCTGCCATGTGCCACTTTCTAGGTCTCCTCACACTGCTGGTGGTTTTCCATTTTTGTCATAGGGTGCTGTATGGCCTTTCCATTGCTTCTGCCTATTATAAATCCACCGCCACACTGTGGCTCCACACTCTTTTTTTTTTGGCCCCGTGACTGCCCAAATGAGTGAAGTGTGTCGGTGATTCTAAGATCGACGGCACTTCATTTTGCATGTCATCTTTTTTTATGACTTCAGTATTATTTCTCTTTCCCCAGCAGACTCCAAGGGCATTTTAATTTTAAAGGTACATGTGTTCTGCACTAATATAAAGGCACTCTGAAGCCTAGAAACACCCTTTTTTAATTTTTTAAATTCGCAGCGAATATATTCGACTCGAATCAAAATTTTTCCATTACGAATTCGCCGAATCAGTCGAATCGTAATTTTTGAATACTTCGCTCATCTCTAATAACGACCTCTAATTTCTCCTGATGTTTATTGGCTAATGAGGTAGGGGTTTTACTGATTAAGAATCTATACGCATACAACGTAGCAGAATTTTTTTTAAAGGGTTTAAATCAGGCATTAGATCAGAAGCCTGCAAAGGCATATGGGTTGTTAGAGAATGTCCTTATGCTAAATATTATTTTTTTTAAATTTTTTTTTGGCCATCCCATTGAAAAATTGTTAATTAACATATTGTATGGTAAAAATATAGTGTTTATATAATGTTGGTGTGGTTTTCATAGGGATCAATGTGGAATTGTGAGTGATGAATATATGGGTTCCTGATAAAAAGACTCATCACAACTATGCTAGCAAAGAGAATATTTACAGTAAAATGCCATCCTGCAGCGAACATTACAAGGACTGAAGTAAGGCAGATATAAATGTTTATGTATTATTTTTGCAAATATTTATATGCCATTTTTCAGGCACAAGACAAGGAGATGTTATAACTGATAAAAACTGATATCAATGCCATTTTCACATGAACTTTCCTCCAGAAGCAAATTTCAAAAGCATTTTGTAATAAGGCAGTTAAAGATTGCAAAGCCAAAAAAGCAACAGAGGACTAGATGAATTAATAAGATTGTTAGCACATTGAATAGCAGAACCCCTGGAGGACTGACCAAACCTGGCTAGTATTGCAGCATTCTTTCTGGTGGGGAAGGATCATATAGACAGCCTGTGTAATCACTTGCTCAAAAACTGGGCCAGGAATAAACTTTTGTGACCTCTGATTGAAAATAACTTCCTTGAAAGATCAAGGATGCAATTTGCTGAGACCTGACTTTGGGTGTGTCTCAAGACTGGACAAGAAGCAGAATTCAGAGAGAATGGTTGTGTGCTAGTGAGAGAGGAGCCCCTTCTTCCCTGTCCAACTACCTCTATCTCCCTGTTACCTTAGCCCCCTTTCCCATTTCCTTATTTGTAACTACAATGCATGTACATTCCTATTTGTAAATAAACCCAACCCTTGTTTTAAGATTTAGTGGTCCTTCATTAGAGTAAAGCACCCCAAACAGAACACAAATTTTACAGGAGGTAATGCATACATTTTAAAATGAATTCATCATGTTCCCTTCCCAAAGATCCTTGCTCAGCTAATTTTTGTTATGGGGTGACAACTGCCTCCCAATTGTCCACCCTGCTTTGTAACCAGGGGTGGACTGACCATGAGGCACTCGGGCACTGCCGAGGGCCCGGGGTCAGTAGGGGGCCCTATGAGATGCCCCTGGTACCTTTCATAGGCTTTTTTGGGTGTGGTTTGAGTGTGGGTGAGGACACAGGGGTCCCATGATCCCCTATTTCCCGGGGGCCCAAAGAGTTGTCAGTCCGCCCCTGTTTGTAACCCTTTTCCCCCTGTGTCCCCCCTTCCCCACACCACAAAACCACCACCAATTGAGACTACAGGTGGATAGGTCACCACACATTATGCAAGCTATCGAGAAGGCATGGTCCACAGTTTCACTATCAAGAAACCAGTCTACAACAGTAATCTGTAAGCAAATACTACAGACAGGAAAAGGCTCTAAGAAGCTGCAGAAAATTAGCAGAACTGAGATACCTAATGTAGCACTACCTCCACAGGCGAAGAAGATTTTGGTTCTCTGTTTGTCACTGAGCAGAGCACCACCCCTGCTGACACCACCAAAATACCTTGGCCAGGTA